AACAGCTCAAAACAGAAATAAATCTCTGTGAAACCTGTTGCTGCGTGTAGGCCAGTTATCCTCTTGTGCGCTCTTTGGATCGAAAGTAACATCAAAGTTTACCAGTGAGGAAAATTAAAGAGCAGAGTGGAACTTCAAAGACGCCTCTTAAACTCGCTTGTTAGAGTATTCTTCGTCATTCGTTGAGTGGTAAGAAGACAATTACACGAATCTATACATATTTAACTTGTATCTTACTAACTGCATATCTGAAGTAGGCCAATTCGATAGACTTGTCGATAGAATTTCTTTTCAATTTCTTTTAAACCTCGATCACCGAATTGCTAAGTGAAATCGCCGACTCTGTCGATAGCTCGATACGTTCTTCTCTGTTTCTTCTTTAGAAGATATTAGTAAAGAATTAACGATGCGAACCTGCGATTCCTCTAATCGAACTTAAAGATGTGGAAGAGGAAAAACACACTTCCAATACCTCCTTCAATCGCGAGAGTCGTCGCCACACTGATCCAAACCACGCGGTCGCCTCGAGTTTTGTTTACAATCGATAGGCGTTCTGCTAGTGCGCCTGCGCCGCATTTTAAAGTCGGCGTCTGTTTGGCGCCATAACTTAGGGATGCTCTTGCTTAGGAATTTAACGACTTCTTCTTTATCGTTGAAAATTTCGATTTGGATGAGTTTGAAGTGGATTCGTACAAACTTTAATTCGAGATAAGGAAACGCAACATTTTTATAGAAATGATATGTATATAAATGAGAATATTGCAGAATAGTATGCTTTAGATTGTAATCTTTACTGTGTTGTTATATATAAAATATTATAACAATACCAAATACACATAATAGTATCAAATAATTGTGTCCATGACGAAAATATGCTACTACACTGATCTTAGCTATAAGTAAAATCAGATATGCATGGAAAATAAACACCACATACCAAATGAGCACAAATTACACTGCCTACGCTATGGAACAGCTTCAATAAAACTAATGTAACTATATGTTCAAGACAGTTCAATAATACTTACACGTCATATAATAAGAAAATTACTCCATATAGAGACAGGTATGGTGTACATAATGAAAAAAGAAAAAAATAGGTGTATGTCTCACCTTTGCCCAACATATAATGAAAAAACCCATAAAAGAATAATAAATATAAAAATAATCATGAAGTATTCATTTCAACATTATTAGTATAAGGACTTTCAATATTGATATTATTCGTTATACCGTTTTACAATTTAAACTCTTCATACACAATAAATACTGTGATTAATACATTTTGCTATATACTTTTTACAAACTCGAAAATAATTCTCAAATGCATAAATATGGACACTTAACGCATTAGACGCAACAGAATTCCGTCGGTATGCAGGTAGTTAATAAATAATGCATCGTACATATATTTTTCGTATACAACGCGGCACATTGGCCATTCGCTTCGATAAATAATTTCAAGCACGACAACGATAAAGGCTCGATGCGTGTGCTAAGTACTTACACATTCCTCTCAAGGATGCAAAACAGAGTGGACATGGATCCTATAGGAGAATGACGATGAACTTTGCACGGATTAGTCAAGATTTGGACTGAATAGAAGGAAAGTGGCAACTTGTTGACACTATAAGCAAATTATTTTTTGACATGTTTACTTTAATTTTGTTAAATTTACTGACTCATGGTATTGTTCTCCCATTGTATAAATATTCTTTTTTGTTAATTAACAATGATTTTCTTAATACATTGTGATTTATATATTAAGTTGTATAAAAACGATTTTTTTTTCTTGCAGTTCACATGATGCATTTATTATGGATATCATTGTTACCTTCAACTGTAGGAAAATGCCGCAGAGAAAAAGAAAAATGCCGAAAGAAAGCAGGTCGTATGCATTTGTGTCGTTGCATAGAGGTCACCACAAGTTCATCGAATTATCTTGAGGTGAATGAACTATTGTGTGCTCGCGAGACAACCAATAATTGATGTCTTTTTTATCCAATTTACTGCCGGCTGCTAGACATAAAACTTAAGCTAAATTAAATATTACGGTATGTATACAACATCAATTTTTTAACTCTTACTAATATTTCACAACATTTTACAAACTTATTTTATAACATTGCACATTCTCTAATTGTTCGAGAAAAGATAAGTAAATTTTTAATTAAGTAACAACTAATATGACTTTGCCTATTTATTTTATTAAACTTCATACGAGGTTTCGTATATTTCTGAGAAAAGCATTTTTTAAAGAATTTTTTAGCTCCCGATGTAACATAGACGAACTACAGTTTCGTTTCTCAGTATAGCAAAACGGAATTAATTAATGTCGGACAGAGGAGGTAGTGTTATGATCATTAACGAGAAACTTCTTTCTTGCACTGTCGATGGAGACCCTCAACGAATCACGAATCGAGTGTACCCTCGGAAAGTAGCTGGAATGTTATGCAAAGCAATTACACCGACTTAATTGTCCATGCGAGAATCATTAAGCAGACTCCACCGAGGGAGCGATGAACCGATTGATTTCCACTTCGATTAAAAATTATGTAAATCTAACTTAGCAACAATTGCTCCAGTTATTTATTATAACAATTTCATTCAACGTGACCTTTTGCTGTGTTCAAACATAATATTAATTTCAACAGGACTTTATACATATCATTCATATAACATGAATTATGTTGTAGACTCACATGAAATGCAGTTTCGTTACTCTTCGGGACATAAGTTGGCAGCAGATGTAAATAACTGCTCAGAAAACCAGATGTTTATGAAAGGCGAGAAGGTATTGAAAACGAACCTTCTATGTGTTAAATCAAGGCTGTATGAGTTGAACATTATTATATATCGGTGTACATCAAGAGAGACGAGAAAGGGAACAGGGGATAATTTGAACAATTATAATTTATGGTAACCGAGACAAACTCCTGTCTTTTTTTCTTTCTTTCCACAACCGGATTACCGGAACTCATAAAATCAATTGGAGTAATTGCGCTCGTATGGATTCCCGCTGAGACATGATGGACATTTCCCGCAGTTTCTATGGACAATGATATCGATAAAAAGTCGAAACAAAGCGTTGGAATCAGCCAGTGGCTATTTTTAAAATCTATTGATCACGAGAGAGATCATCTTTGCGAATGCAAAGCGTACATCATCTGCATTCGTATGATAAGAGAATGCGACGCTTATAACGAAGGTTTATCTTTAGATGGAGCGGCATAAACATACAATGGGCAATACCGAAACTAATGAGGAAATTAATTTAAATAAAGAGAGGCCCAATCGGCGCCATTCTTGCATAACGATCGATGCTGCTTTTCCGATACGTGCCACGAATGCTGTATATACTTCTGAAATTCTTCTCCGAGGTATGCTCAAATTTAAAATAGTCGAAATGTGATAGCTGTAGCGCAATTCCGTCAAAATTACAAGTTTGTAATCAAAATATTGATATTATTGTACTGAAGCTTTCAATGCACAATGAGATAAAATTTGTAAAAATTGGGAGGATATTTATTATATATACAGGGATCTTTATCAATGTTGAAATTAGTTAAAGTCTAAACTTACAAGAATTTAGTGCTCAGTAGTAGATATTTGTATCTACAATTTTGATGTCAAAGAAAAAGGGTTTTTTAGAGTTATTAATATGGAAATGACGACAATGACCTTTGAACTTTTGGATATAGATGGAAGATTACTATACCTCCCTAAATTCAGAGTAAAGTTTTAGCTACAGCGTGACAAGTAGGGGCCAAAAGTTACGATTTCGCTTTGTGATAAATATAGGTATGTAATAGTTAGATTCACTGAGGACAAAATAATCAATTAATAATTTAGTTTCACCTATTTATTTTAGTAATACAGAAGTTATAAATAGTTTAGAACAATTCACAATTACTATAAATTAAATTTTTCCAAATTAACCACTGGAAATAGAAGATATTAAATACATGATAGTATCTTTTAAATCTTTTAAATTTAAATTATCGGAGGAAAGATAAGAATCAGTACAATAAAATGTTAATTTCTTCCGTGCGTATGTTATTGTATATATAATTCAAATATAAATACTATGTTTTAAATATTTCTTTAGTTATATTATAAAGTACTTGGTTAGTTTTCTGATGTAATCTATTCGAATTATCAATATTTATGTAGAATATATATTTCCTACCTTTTTTCGGAGAAGTATTCATATCAGAAACTCATGATCTTTTCCTAAATCTGATTAGAATCAGCGACGAAATATCGAAACTTCATCACATTGGAAAAGGGCCAACAAGAATATAATTAGATCATGAATTGATCATCCTTCTGATAAACAGTGAAATCTTAATTAGATTCTATGAAACGAGTTCCTATTAATATCTTTCATATCATTTTTTTCCTCCTTTTTAAAAAAAAATGACAATTGCATAAAATAAATTTTTATTTTGAGCAATTTTAAAAGAATTACTTTTATAACTAAATTCATATTTTAAATTATTCAACATTACTCTTAAACACTGTGATGTGTGTGTGTGTGCGCGCGCGCGCGTGCGTGCGTGTGTGTGCGTTTATTTTTATATTTCTGTAAGGGTTGCTAGACTTGAAACCTTCAGAGTCTTTTCTTAGTAATGATACATGTTTCTTTTTACAGTGGTGTTTAATGACATTTATGACAAAAAGCAAATTTTTATGAGTTTATAAGTTTACAAAATGTTACTACTAATAGGTTATTAAGTTATTGATAACTTAAAAAAGAACAAATGATAATAATGACTTAACCAAGAATAAAGAACAAGATAAGTAAGGTTAGACAAATATACCTAACCTCTGTAAGATTCTTGAGCTTCATCTGACAGTCAAATTCTGTATAATTTATATTAAAAGTCTAACTTCTTTTTTAATGATGTGCCAAATTTTCCTTTGATGTTTTGAAATTTATATTTATTCCATACACATTGGTTTTCAAATATTAATCATATATATTTTTATGTTTAAGGCAGAAGCAGTTTATGATAACATACAAAATAAACAAGAAAAATTTAAACATCAATTATGATGTGATACAAGATTTGGAAGTTATACATATCTGAAGATACAAGTGATTCAATGTAATCATTTGTAGCAATAGAATGGAAGGAAAAACATATTTTATATTAGCTAAGAAAACAACAAAGGTAAAGTTAAAAAGCTTACTGCAAAGAAATTAAAGGATCTATATGTATATATACATACATAAAAGACTGTAGTAAAAAATGGAAAATAAGCACACATTTTTATCATTTTTCAGATATTAACAGAAACATTAATATACATATAAGAAGAATATAGAAATAAATATATAAAGATGATTATATAGCTCAAAAGAAGTCAGTTTTAAAGTTAGGAAGAAAATCAACATACGATATGATATTTAAAGATGACTATTTCAATATTTGTGGTAAACATATTAGCACAAAGTAGTAAACTTGGTATAAAAGAACAAGAAATAATATGTAGTAAGAATTTATACCAACAGATACATCAAAACATTTTTTACAGTTTAGATTTATGCAACAAAATTTGAGTGTATCTAATAATTATGATAAAATAATATTTGTATACATTGATTGTAAGAATAACGAAGACTATGTTAGAATAATAACTCACTAAAAGCTTTTAAGTTAAATGTTTTTATCTTCTTTAAGATATTAAATATAAGATATGCCAAGTATATACACTCTCTCATATGAATATGAATATTTAAAAATGAATTAAGTTGTGTTAAATTAACTTCATTTATAATTATTCAATACAACAAGAAATATGTAGTTTGTCTTCATAATTGTTCAGTAGAAGTATTTTTCTTAATATTTTTTTACATACTACAAATGAACTAAGGCCTCCATTGTAGAATTTTAGAAAACACTACATTTATGAAAAAAACTGAAAGATTTCTTTTAATTAAACTTTTTGTGATTTTAGTTTATATTACACCATTTAATTTTTTTTAAATAACTAACAAAAATGACAATCTACGTAGACAATAGTAACAGTAATATTCATACAAAAGTTTCTATCACACACGCAGGCAACTAGAACTACACTGAAACGATGAGGCGGGAAGCGATTCTCAAGAGTCGATATATCGAATCAGTACCGCGCGCAATATTTGAATTTGAACTGATAAACGCAGAAAAATTGAACTACTATTTATTAACAAAAGTGTATATTGTACATTTAATTATTTAGATTAATAAATTACTATTAGCAAAATTATATTAGAATTTGAAGTGTGTGAAAAGACAAAGAATAGAGAATAAAAAAGTAGCAATATATACAGTCGCTAAACCTTGATCTGTAATCTGCACTTGACATTCGCATGGTCAAGTGTATAATAAACATTCTTGCATTAAACTGTAACCATCCGTTTAAATGAACGTGCCTAGATTTAACTACATGTTTTTCTACAGTATTGTCATATTTCTATTAATTTGAGATATCAACGTTGAAACAACATCTGCAATTTAAGAAAGTCAAGAACAGCACGTCTAAGTTTCCTAACGTGCGTCTGCGAAGTAAAAGGCACGATTTCACTATAAAATCAGTGCAACGGAATGCACTGTTACGTCACTTGATTCGCACTCAGAACACTCGATTTGTAGACATCAATCGTAGATACCTGTAAACAATTAATCAATTACACAGTTATTATAAAAGAATAGAAGAAATCTTTGTAGAGAATTTTTCAAATATTTAATTTGTTTTATGAAATCCTACTTTATCATATTGTATTATTTGTATAATAAAAAAATATGTCAAATACATTCATAAAAATTTTAAAACTATGTAAAATAATATAAATTAATGACCGTCTAGCTACAATTACTTTTTTGCTATATATCAAAATCCTTATAAAAAATGTTTGTAAAATTGTAATTATGTTACAATATTACGTTAATGTTATTGTTCCATGGGATGATACAATCACTTTCGAAGAAATAAGAGAAAAAAGAAGAATCTCAACCAGTTTCTGATCTCAGTCATGTAGATAGTGTCGTTTGTCGAGTCTTTCGAAGACCTACTTGAAAAAAGCCAGTCAATCCTCCTTACCGGTCGATCAATTTACTCAGCTCTGAATGAACGCATGACGATCCCGTTATCGTTTCGTCCGAGTGGGTCACCGACACTTCGACAGGATTTTACTCGTGCTTCGAGGTGCACGTACCGAACCTGTGCCGTGAACAGACCGTTCTCATTGATACTTGGTGGGGTTCAACAGGACCGTCTCACTTTCTTGGAAAACAGTTTGAAGCACCTCTATGATCTTAGTCTTTTTCAAAAAATTCTATATAGAAAAAACAATGATTTGATCGTGTATTTAGATATCCTAAATTTCAGTTCCAAGTTCAAAATTAAAATTAAAATGTAATAGCACTGTATCGTTTCTCTTAGAAAAAGGTTATACTAATTTTTGAAATTACGATACATAGAAATTCAGCAGCAAAATATTTTTTTTCTAAATTCAATCATTCGATCAATTTCGATCGATTTATTCATCAAAGATCGATCGATCTTTAGTCAGTTTTAATCACAAGTATTTTAATGCACATAGAAAATCCCACAGATCAAGTGATTTATAAAATATTCATTGAGCTCACTACTTCAAACATGTTTAGTATCAGATTAGTATTATTATATCTATATATCTTAACTGCATATATAACATGATCCATTAAAATGTTTTTTACACTCGAGGAGGAAAAGAGGGGATCTTGAAAGTGGAGCCAAGATTCAGCCGTCCCTGGAAACCAGATGGGGTCTGAAAGTGCCCCGCGTGCTCGCCTTCGAAGAACATATCCATGCAGTATTAGTGTTCGCGTGAACGAGTAACTTGTCGTACCTTTTTATCTCTATTGAGAAGTATCACGTTTACCAGCGGATCCTAAGGTCGTTTTCGCGGACGTTGTCTACTTCGACCATCGCGAACGGCAGTAATTTTCGAAACGTCTCATTCGTGAATAAATCTTCGAGGAAAAGGGAACATCTCCAGGAAACTATTACAGACGATCGTTGTCGACTTTGCCAATTTCTGCGCGATAATTAAACTGGATCGACAACTATGAAAATCGCCACGACCTTGTTCTTCTTTGTAGTCGTCGGTACGTACAATTTGTCTTTTATCGCCAAACGCAGCTTCTAGGATTTATATGTATATTTTCTTTTTTGATTGTGTTTCATTAATAAACAGCAGATGCTTAGACATTTCCGGAAAATTTAAAAGTGCAATAATATATATAGTGTACACATAATATACAAAAGTAAAATTTCCAAAAGCATTTATTAGAATATTTCTATTCGTGATAAAATATGACTATGATATATTATATCTGGAATATTTGCTATAATGTATAGATTTTATTTCTTTAGCTATGATTATAAATATATAAAATATTGCATATGAAACATCTACAATTAAGTCATAAAAGTAGAGTATACAGATAAAATACATTGGACCGTATTAGAATAGGTATTAGAATTTAGTAGATTCTTTTAGAATCTTTAATGTCATTCAATGAGAATGATGTTTTTTCTCGATAATACTTATGATTTAGTACAATGTTTCGTAACATTTAAAGTGAAGCACAAAATGTGATACTTAAAAGGAGGGTGAAAGTGTGGACATAACATTTTTTTTTTTTTTTCACGGATTGAATAAAACTAAAGGGTCGCGTTTAAACATACATATTTAAACTAGAGACTGCGTTTTTGAGAATACAGCTAACATACTTACGTATTCATGTGCAAATATTATACATGTATTCATAAATTTATAAAATTATGTTCTCGTTGTGACACACGAATACCTAAGAGTTAGCCTTAAGCCTCGATCTAAAAGTGTCTAATAAGATGTATTATATCTTGCACAATTTCTTATCACAAACAGAATCTTATTCCGACTTACAAATCGAATATGCTTTGTGATATGAGGCTTACACAAAGATTATATCGAAATATTTAACAACCAGTTTCCAATACGAAGATATTTGATAATGGAAAAATTAATTTAATTTTATCACATATTATTTTTTAGACTATTTTACAGGAAGATAGAATGTAATGATTGGAAACTGGTTTTCAAGGTATCTAATAATATTCTTCCTGGGTAACTCGCAGGTTTTTGGGCCTTTTTCCATTATTTACGCTTTGTATCAAAGCATTTTTATTCTGTGCTATCGAGCCTCGACCTATCTTGACTGACTGCACTGTTTATTCGATTCTACTACTTAAGTTTCTCTATCACTCGATCTTACTATTACCGGACTACCTTACTTGATCTTTAAATAATCATTTTTCATCGCAAATTACTAATCGACCTAGTAACGTTCTCCAGGGTGAACGCTGTATTCTTGTCATTTATAAAATATAGCGCAGAGATCTCTGTAAATACGATTCTGGCTATCAAAAAGTGTGGGAAGCGTTGCATTCTTAACCGCGCTATCTCTCTATCATGATTCCCCGTGGGCCAGGAGAAGCAATTTTCATTAATTTTACGGTTTTCTTCGCGATAACTTAAGCGTGACCAATGCGTGTTTTGCGTTACACCACAATGTTACAGTATTACGGATAAGATTCATTATAGAAGAATCGAATTTTATTTTCGCAACATATAATATACCATTTTATCCGTCTCTTTTGAAATTAAATATTGAGAAGTGAAAATTTTTTGAATATCAGAGAATTCCTTCTCTCGTTACATTTCACATTTTATGCAACAACGAAATAAAAGTTAATTATATAAGGTATCAAAATTATACATTTCTAAGTTGTACATAATTATGTAAATACGTTACGAAATGGCATATGTTCATCGGATAAAAAATGATCCTGTTTGCAAATGACAGCAAGCAAAATTACGTAAATGAGAGGATCAAAATCAACCATTCTTTATCGTAACCAAATTAATTTCTTTGTAATTATCAATAAACTGTAGAATATATTCTGTAGAATGCATATGTAATATATAAAATTATATAGAACATATAAAATATACTTATAATGAATAAAATAAATCTCTGTTTAGATTTCATTTCTTTAATCATGTTCATAAAAAGATTTATCTGCATAAAAATTCAATCTAATCAGCAATATTTTTTCTATGTCGATTTATGTTCTCATAGAGCGTTACATTTGCTGAACATGGATATTCGTTGCTCGAATTTGCTTATCCACCGTGTTTGTATTGCTAAATTACCGAGTGTTTCTCGTAAAACATCGGCTGTTCCAGGGAATGGTACATTAAATGACGTGTAACAGCGCATCGAATAGCCGCGTCTTGACGAGAACGGAATCATTGAACAGAAAAAGTAACAGTAAAGCGATCGTACGCATCGGCGCGAACTAGAAAGTGCATAAGCATTGGTTTCTATTGCTGAAAACATTGATACGGAGGAGAAATAGAACGAACTTGCGACGAAAGTAAGCAATTGCAACACGACAATTATAGACACGATCGTGAAAGGGGACTGAAATCGAACCATCGTGCACGTTAATCACATATTTTCGTCCAGTCGGACAATCCTCGGTGTAATACGCAAAGATATAATAGAGACATATAGGTCGTGGAAACTCTTACTCCTGTTACGATACGTTTTTCTATGGCAGCGTGTAATGTATTCGTCATTATCATGTCAATTCGAACGTAGTGCGTAACATATCGCGGTGATCTCGAGGGAACTTTCTCTGTGTATTTATCGAAATAACTTTCACATTACGATAGAGTGATAATTAGTAGAATGATAAAAATATAGTAGGTTATATACATATCACTATACACGTGTGGACAATAGAAATGAGAAATTTGCATCTCGAAATTGTTAGATTTTTCGTAGAGAAAAAATATTCGTAATAAAGATTCCATAGTGATCCGTGCATAATTTAGGATTTAAAATGATAAACGATAGGCATGCAAAAAGTGAAAGTTTATAATAGAAATAAAAAATTAGTTTCTGTTAATTTGACATTTAAATTAGTTATCATTTGAAGGTTATGGGCTTTCAACGTTTGCCACTTTTACAGATTTAAAAGAAAAATAAGTGGTAAGAAGAAGAATATTTACGATAACTCTAAAAATACTTATTACTATTTCAACTACATTCTATTGTAACTGTAGTTGTGACTATACTTTCATCTTTCTCAACCACAATCTAGTTGATACTGACGATATCTTTATCTTGCGATGGCCTAAAGTTATGATAAATTATTTCAGTATTAATAATTTCCCATTTTATTTCGCAATTTATATCTCATTAAAAGAATCGTTTCTCGTTTCTTTTGAAACTTGTATCGTTTACCATATCATTGACCATTCGAAACCGTTTAATGGTGACACAACTTTCAAAACAGATTTAAACACGGATTCTGTGGGTCCATAGACATCTGACTTCAATAATATTCTCACTAAATTTTCAATAGGTCTGTATTATTTGGGGAATCGGGTCAGCAACGGGTCTATGTGAACGTTTTATTTTTCGGTGGTCACTTTCTACATAGCTATGACTGCATATAGTATCGTCTTAACATCTCAACTAAGACGATCTTCCTATCTTTATGTATTTTCATATTCCTGTTATCACCTAAGAAACTTTAACATCGGCAGCAAAAGAAACGAAACTGATTTCAACAAGTATAAATATCTGTCCAAAAATGAAGAAATAGCACGTTTTACAGTTTCAACATTCGTACTTAATCTACTCATTCGTTAATAATCATTCGGATGCTGTGTGTGATTGCAAAAAGATACTAATTTGGTGTAGAAATAAGAAAAATTGAATTCTGTGTAACTTTCAATTCTAAAATTTCACAATTTCATTTTATGCCGGAACGCGAATATTATTAAGATTTTATAACAAAAGAAAATTGATTTACAAATTGGTGAACTATAAAGCGAAAGACGACTTTAGATGACTACCGCTCTCAAGGTAAAGGTAAAGGCTGCGTTCGTGGGAAAATGTTGCGCGGGTTTGCTCATCGACGGGTGTCGTTATTTCCTCTTAGGTTAATTAAGGAATGCTGCTAGGCAAAGAAAAGTGAATTTTACCAACACTTATAACAAAACACTTTTGTACAATTATATCGTTACACGACTAGGGTCGATCTTGAAATGAACAGTGAAAGTATCCTTGAAATTGTTACCTTTCAAAGTCATTGCTCTCGTTCTTAATAGCAATTAGAATGTGGGATTGACCTAGGATTTCAAATAATATTCGTTTCTTTTTTTTTTTTAGAACAAAATGAAAATTGTTTTCAAATGAACAGGAATGAAATTTTAACGTGAAATTTATTACAAAATTAGTTATGGAAACATACATAGGTTTGAAGAAGTTGCGCAATTCGAAATGAATGTCGTGATCATGTAAAATTTATAACCGTAAATTTTTCACTAGTTGTACTATATTTTTATAATGGCAGGGTTTATGTTAGATATTTTGATTGACGTAGGTAAAATTATTTATCGACTAAAGAAAGTTACTTCTATATTAGTAATCTTCTCGTTTATTTCGCACTTGGCGTTTTGACAAATTGATCGACGTGCACGCAATTCATTATTGCAGATAAGATTTTGAAGAAATCAGGATACGTCCAATTCAGTAAACAGAAACAAGACACGAGTGGCATGGTAACAAAGTTTCTACTGCACGATTATCTTAATTTTGTAGGTTTTGCGAGACGTTCTTAATGAGATTTAAACGTTTCTCGTATAATTAATGATGTTGACTTTAAATAATTGATGTTATTTGAATATTGTATCAATTTAGATGCTACACAGAAATTTTTCTATAATATACTATATGATTTTATCGTAGTACTAAATATTTTAAGGAAATCGAGAAAGGTAAACGAATATAGCATAATAAAAATATAACAGTATTGTTTCTAAAGGGAATCTGTGTCTTTTTAATGAGATAATTCGATCGATGATCAGATTTGAACTGTTGTTCCTTCTTCAAAATTTCACTATATACACGTAGTATAATTTCTATAAAGTGCTTATTTCGCCACACAATCTGACTATATGAATATTCTTCGCTAACCTTTTCTAATATGTAGACTGTTATGAGTCGTCATTTGCATTTTTATATAACATTAAATATATTCGTCAAACTTCGTCATTCCATCAGACCATGTCAAATTTTCTTATGGCCAATCTTTTCGGTTATTGTGAAACATTGTATGAAAGTAGAATATAAATACGACAACGTTGTTTCTGCATTAGTGGAATATCAAACAAAGACATTAGAGTATGGAAGATATAGGTGAAGGGCATAAGATAATAAATAATGTGCTCATGAAAATCACAAATATTGAGAAGCCGAATTTGTATTAGCTGAAAGTTACAATTTTATAATTAAAGTATTGAAATAATAAAGGGTATAAATCCTAAAGATCTATATAAAAATATCTGTCAATTTTTATATTTATAAATTACAATTAATTCAAACAAATTATTTTATGAATTATTATTTGCAATAATTACTTTCTTGCTACAAAAATACTTTTTAATTTTTTTGGTACTTACATTCTTTATCATTTAATCTCTACAATTACCCCAATGAAACAATTGTATAAATATAATAAACGAGGAACTCGGTTATTAAATGGTGATCACACGGATCGTAAAATTGCTTCATGAAACTATTACACAGTGTCTCAACTTTTTCCGTTTTGTTTTAAAAGAGTGACAATATTCGGGCTCTTTAGATGCGAAACTAATTTTGAAGTATGAGGAACCGACCTGGTCAGCTGACGTGGTCGAAAGGTTGACTCGACTTATTAAGTGGGTCAGTAGGCTACGGCCCAATGGCACGCCTAAGATCCGGCAAATCTTCGAACACAAGTTCCGGAAGTACCTTTCACAAACTTCGGGACATTCCTTGGAAAGTTATACTATAATTTACAGAAATTCCAAAAGCTGTAATTAATTTTCCTTTATTTTACCTGAATATAATTTTAAATTCGTTCAACTAGGATTTTCTTTAAATATAAAGGAAGAAATATAATATTTATAGAAATATTTGTAGAAAGTAAAGAGATGTTATGAATTTTTAAATGGTTACACAGGGCCACAATTTGCATATTCCGAAATGTACACGATCCGTGTTTGAACTTTCTTAGACGTCTGTATGCGTTTTTTTAGAAAACTCTAGAAAACCGCAAATATAGGAAGATTCTTTCTTTTCTAAGGGAATGTCATCAGTCTCAGCGATTGTATCATCTTGGTGGAGAAAATTACAGATTTGATTACAAAGTAGTGTAGACGTAACGTCCGGTAGATAGAATTTGTAACATTTAGTTACTGATTCTACTGAAATTGCATTCACGAAACTATAAAAGAAAATTATAATTATTTATCTATACATTAAAATAGTATAGTAACTACAAAGTTTATACCGAATGCAACTTATTTTATCTTAATTCTTCTGATAACAATATTTTAATCTCATTTTGGATTTTTTTCATTTTACAAAACTATAAAACTCTACTAACATATTGTTTGATGAAAATCATCTATGACAGAGCACTGACATCACAAAAACCGAGACTGAACAGAAATGATCGTGTCAATTTCATTCGCTTCGAAATACGACTAAGATCGGTTGAACTTTCATTACACTCGATTACATGGTCATTTATGATGCTTGAACATTCACGGACGAGAATCAATAGCACAGATTAGGAATTATGAATCAACGGCCCCCGTATCGACATTTATGAAAATCCTGCTTCGATCTTCTCATTGACGATTAGTCAGTCGAAATCGTTCTGGATTATATCCCCGTTAACTGATGCAGCTCTGACTAAGAAGAAAAGTATAAATTTCAAGAAGGAAAAGACATCTATTTTGCAAATCCGGTTTAAAAGGGTAAACTTTCTCTGAGAACTCCCTTATCGTTTCTAAAACCAAATGAGTCACAACTTAAATTTCTTTTTAGGATTTAATTTACGGCTCTTTCTATTAAAATGTTTGCGTTGTATATGAGATGTTCCAGATTTCTTCGATCTGTAGATATAAATGAGAAAGATATATTATACAAATATAGATCGTTTGAAGTTTTAACAAAAATAGAAAATATGAAAAAGCGTAAAAAGGACAAAGTAGCATAATACAGCTATTATCATTTCTAGAAGCAACTCAGTTTAAGGTATACATTATGATAAAAATAAATAAGTTAATTGATATTAATTACGATGGAATCAGAAGCTGATCAGTTGGGTCGAAACGGGGATCCATAGTGTTCTTTTCTTCCGGTTTGGTTGCAGGATGCACGTGGCGGGAGACTCTAGGGACGTGCGTGTTTCAATCGGACTTTGGTTTCGTGCTTAACTGTGCCTTTCGGAAGTCCGGAATTTTTCGGGTACGAAATCTTGGAGGTGTCAAAGGTTACGTCGGCCTGGGTGAGTCGTAATAAGCGGTCGAAACAATTTTCATAAAAGAATTTCCAAGAATCCTCATGCGCGATCTCTTTCTTAATCAATTATAAATATACTGTAAATACCTTGTATATTACTAGTTATAATTTCAATGCGATAACTACAATAATACGTAATATATCACATGACGATTACAATTTTTCCGGATTGATGGAGGAGGATAATCTATGAGTGCAAATCTAAGCAAATATTGGATGCGGACTGAAACATGAATCTAGTAATGAATTTTACATACATCTTAAAATGAGAGTTTGATAATATTTAGTAATCACTAATAATATTATCATATTATAATAACTCTCACAATAAACTATTTTATAACTATTTTAATAAACATTTTATTCTGAGTTCAATATTTGCGATATTTTTTAGGACTTTAATAAAGTACTTAGTAAAGCATTATATAACATTTGTTTCTTATATTACCTCATAGCCTCTTTTCTCTGCAGTTTGTCCGGAAAAATTAGAAACACCCTGTATTTAACATGCTCCCTTGTATATTATTATATCGTTGGAATAGCGTGTATAAAAGAGAAAGTGTTACTATTTTGTCGCTTCGTTTTCTTGCTTTTCATTGCTTTTTTCACCATAGGACGAATGCTTGAAATAGTGTAAAGTATAGTTTAATGATTTTTTTTCAGTGAATAACATACTTCAACGACTATTTCACTATTTCACTTTCATTTATGTCCATTGTTTAATTTTTTTTTACTGTGACCGATCAGTGTAATATGTTATTATACTTTCTTAAATGATTTGTTAATAACATACTTTCTATTACTGTCTATTCGGAGGCCTGATTCTATGAAATATATATAGAAATAACAGGCCATTGGAAAAAAATTGAACGATTTATGTGATATTCTGTGTTGTATTCATTATGCAAGTAATAATACTTACATCACGCGACCCATTTTCTGTGAGAATAAGTGTAAGTGGTTTTGTAGAGTTTATGGCATCCTCAGTTTTGTGTCATTGTATCCATAACTGTAAATCTCAATTTAAACGCAGTAAAGGATCCCCATTGAACTTTGAGAATTTAGTTTTATAAACACTAACTCTTATAAAGACTAATCTCAGCATTCTTTTGTAATCTCTAACTTAATCTTATGAATAAAATAAATATTAAAATATAAATAAATTGACTAAAATTTTAGAAAAATGTTAAAAAATGTCGAAAAGTGCAGTGCAATCAAATAATTCTTATTCGCATTGTCCCATCGAAAAAAGTCTATTTCGTTCGCCACGAAACGATGCAGAAAGTGAATTACCACAAGATTATAGTTAATCGAGCAGAACGTGCGTGAAATGACCAGTGACTTTCAGAACAAGAAGAATGTCTCCTCATAACCTACTTCTCTAATGCTTTGGTATATATGAGTACATAGTAGTTGCTTGGAGAAAAAAGTTATAATACATATTACATTATTCATCGCCTTGACTCGCCCCAGATGTCAGCAATATCTCGTAAAGGATGACACCTGCAATGAAAACGTAATTTGCATTTGAACCGACCGGACCAAGGGATCAAAGAAATCGTCGTAAGAGCGCACGGTTGTTTGCACATTTATAGAACAAAGCAAAAAACCACGTTGGATCTTGCGCAACATGTGGTTACTTAACTTTCTATAGCTTGTCTTTTCTGGGTATTATCTAATTTTTCATCCATTCAGAATGGCGGTTCTTATCACTTCTACAATTAGGAATAACAATTTTTCTTTAGTAGTAATTTAGTAACAAAAATTTGTTTGATAAGAAATTGTTTCCCAAGTATTAATTAGGTAAATACGTATTAGAATTCGTGAAAATCGAGCGAAAAATTTTCGGAATTGAATAGTTTGGGCTTACTAAATACATCAGGAGTAAAAATTAAATGCATTCTTTAGGCTAACATGACAATATATGACTTAATTATCGACAAATGTGATCCTTTCAGTAGTGAGACCTCTTACATTTCATGTAACGATGAAGTCAATCGATTAGTTGGAATAATATCAATAATTTTTTAATTCAGATAATGGTTTATTTCTTTACACAAGTGTTTTTGTACCTAATAATTGGTTTAATTACAATTAATATTATTGTTAACTTCAGGATTTTCTGTGGGTGACGAGCTAGGATTTAGTCAGTCCTTGTCCAATGTGGAGGCTGCCAAAAGAAGAAGCGTGCAGACTAGTAGAGTTGGTTCATCGTCCCATACTAATTTGGTAAGAATTTCAGAAACATTAGAAATAAGATGTATACATTTATTTTTCTACACGTATTCATGTAGATTGTTATCGTAATTACTTTGAAGATTCTGTAATGAATTAATTTCTATTACATTATAGATGTACAGACACGATTCTTCGTTTAAACTAGTCCAAGGAAAGTTTAAGATGAATCGGGACAAGTATAAAAACTGGATACATTCCATCGTGATTCCTGCAGTGCTATGATATTTATGATAGTGCTAGTTGCATGCATTTTGGTTGAATTTATATAATAGGATGCCTTATAGTGTTTCTGTTGTGTAATCGTGAACTACATCTAACTGTAGATTTTTCATCTGATTTATACGTGAGAGTAAATAACTTTTTTGTCTGAATATTTAAAGGGAATTAAAGGTTTCTGAATCTTTGTGAGAAAGGAATTCTGAAGATTTTTTTTCCTTTCTTAAAGGCACTCTTTAAATTAAATGTTTTAAGTTGTTTTTGCATTTTTAGTTTCATTATAATTGTTATGAAAACTTCTGTTTTGGGCTCTCCTTTATCTATATTTATCGCATTCTGAGACGCCAAATGGGTGTATTTCTTACTATTCCAGCGAAATCTCGATCGAACCCAAGCATACGCGATTGACCTTGTCATAATTAGTGCATGAACGAGTATAAAATTCTTCACACGACGTAGTGCAAGGTTTCCATTCTCATAGAAGTACACATGGAGCATACATTGAATCCCCTATAAAATCTGAAAGAAAAAGATAAATGAAGTAGAACAAGGTTGAAGAATTCCTTTTATACGTATGTTAAAGTTAATGGAAGGAGAGGTTAATCGGAGTGCAAGTGTAACTTAATATTCGTCTGACTCTTAATGATTCCACTTAAATTGTGAAATCAGTGACTTTTTACACGTACATGACTTATTTTTCTTTGACAAATGTATATTTCTTCTATTCAGAATCCTGAAAAAGATGGTTCAAATATAAAAAAGTTTCATTTTGTAAATTACATAAATTGTGTAAAATGACATATTCATTTTTCATTTCATAAAATTAGATAGGATTTTCTAAAATATTAATCACAGGGATCTCTATCTTACATATATGTATTTAAGTAGAGACGTATCACATATTTACAAATTAACTCGTGTAATTTTGAGTTACTAAATTTTGTATTTTTAATTCTTTAATACAAGTATCTGTATACACACATTTTTTAAATTACATTAAACGATTAAATATTAAACATCATAAATGCTAATGGATAATAATTCATTGAAGGCTACCAATCGAGATGAAACTAGACAACACACTCAGAACACTCGACAAGTGGTGCCTCCCTTCAAACCATTACCAGCTGGAGCAACGCGGCCGATAGCTCAGCAACCAGAACGTCAAAAATTGGTCGTACAACAGAACTCTACAGTCCTTCGAACCGTGCCAGCTCCTTCCTTATCAACAACACAACAGGACTTATTGAGGCAGCAGCAACTAATGCAACAAGAAGTAAAACAGAAGCAACAATTGAAATTGCAGCAAGAAGCTTTCGCATTGCAAGTACTAAAGCAACAAAGGTTACAACAACAGGAAGCTATGAGACAGCAACAATTGCAGAAGCTTCAACAGCAGCAGAAACAGCAACAAATTGCTGCGCAACAACAAATGCTGACACAGCAACATAAAAGGCACCAACAAATGGTACCGATACAAGTAAAAAGAGATCAGGTAATATTAACTAATTCCTTTCTTTCTTTTTACATTTAACAATTTTTATCCTTTAACCCAGAGGAGGTAACGGGTCTGAACATTTTATCATAAATAAGAGTATATCTGTCTTTTTTCCAATGAATTCGGAATTTAATAACGTTGTAACATTTATTCTGCAGACACCACAGATGCTCGCAGTTGCAGCTGCAATGCCAGGAAAATTACCTAACATTGTAGCTGCAATTCCACCAGCTGATAGCATCGTGGAACCAGGACTTTCGTTAAAATCAGCGTCTTCAAGTGACGGGTTACCACCTTTTATTTCGATGCCACAGTCATCTTCACAGTTGACCGATCGAATTAGTAATGGTCCTACTATTTTGCACGATTCTGATAACGAGGTGTCGAAAGATGATTTCAATCAGGTAATTACTTTGATTTTTAATGATAACAAATTAGAATCATTTAATCTTAGATAAAAATTATTTATTTTAAAACAAAATTAACGCTTCGCTCTTTATATAGATTTAATAATACTTACTAGCTCCTAAATAATGTTATAAAGTAATTTCGTTTTGAAAGATTGATGTGATAAAAAATATTAAATTCAATTTTTAGCTTCCTCTACCTGGAGATGAGGCTGCGTCTTCAGTCAACGAGATGACTTTACTTTCCCTTCAAGCAGCTGAATCCAGTCAGTCACAACAACAAAACGAGAAACGACAATCGTTGCCATCGTCATTGCCATCTTTAGCGCCTATTCAAGGAATGGAAACGTCGTTGAAAGCTCTGGCAGAAGCTAGCAATATTACTTTAGAAGCTCTAGAAGCTGCTATTCTTCTCAGGCAACAGCAACTTCTACAAAAACAGCAAGGGCCAACCAGTACAAGCACGACGACGACTACAACTATGTCTCCGCATAAAAAGTACGATTAAAGCTGTTGTTATTTTCTGTTATATATTTCAGTTTATACATTTTTATTATCTATTCGAATATCTTAACATCTTGCAAAATCTTGAATCTTGTAGTTTTTAAATATCACGAATTAAAAAAGTTCGTAGTCTTCTTTAAATTATTTTTCAATTATCAATCTTTTTAGTAAATATAATCCTGGTGTCACCAAAGTAATGAACGCTCCTCGTGAATATTATCCAATGGGTTATGACAAGAACTTCGATGACAATTTTGCCAGTCGTGTAGATCTTCCGGACACAAGCTTTTATTGTGGTGACCAAAAACATTTTCCAGGACTGTATGCTGACGAAGATCTTGGGTGCATGGTAAAATATTTCTTCCTCATATATTCAAAATAATTTATGCTATATTACGATTTAAAATATTAATATTCTATGAACAACTCTAGGTATTTCACGTTTGTGCATTAACGGATGATGGCTTGATTATGAAGAGTTTCCTCTGTCCCGAATCAACTTTATTCGATCAATCTATCCTCAAATGCAATTGGTGGTTCTACGTGGATTGCAAAACTTCGAAAAGTTTATATGACAGCAACATTCCAATTAGCAAGAGTTATCAGTTAATGAAAGCACTAGCGTTTTTCTCAGCGTACAAAAACCATGACAATAGTACAACATCTGCTCAAGAAAACTCAGAAAGCTCAGAATAACTCTAAATCTTGTTACAAAAGAACTGAATCTTTATTTTTAGTTAGTTTACTAGTTAGGCATCCCCTGTGAGTTTAATTCGTTCCACGATTGCCAATTTATGTTCCTTTAATCCATTAAGCTTTGGATAATGAAAGTTAGCTTCTTTATACATTTTAATATCGAGCTACTTTCTTAATTAGTTTGTGGTATGTTAAGTATTTTAAATTAGTGTATAATATTTAGATTCTTTGTTGAGGTGTGATCTTAATGGATTAAACTGAACTTCTTTGTGGAAAGGTGAATTTTATAAGACAATGGATATTTTTGTGTCACGGTATAACTATTTTTCTCGTTAATCACTGCCGTCACAATCCCAAACGATAAGTGTGTGTATATATAATTTATTATACTAGTGGAGTGTAATAGGCATAGTAAATAATTTGTTTTAATCGTAATGTTGTAAATAGTTCTACGTTGGTATTTTCGTTGATGTGGTTTGTTTAATAATAATCCTATTCTTGTTGACGTGGCTGTCCCCATTCTATATCATGAAATTCTTGTCAAAAATATGTAATCAAAAAATATAAGAAATATTAAAAGATCGGTTGAAATAAAACAGACATAAAGAAAACGTAGAAAGCATAAACTTTATTGTGGCAAATGAGAATTATGAAAAATAATACAAATTAAATGCCAATATTAAGTTATTGCAATTTACACGGTCAGTCTATAATTTCTCGTTGACGATTTTAATTTTCATCGCCGTTCAAAATTCGATTAAATTTTCAAAATATTAAATAGAAACCTCGAATAATCTCTATACTATCAGACGATTTTCACAGAGATAGAATAATTATAAATAATAATATATATTCATTAATACCATCGTCTCTATAAAATAAAAATTAAAGCTATGTGATTCGATAAATAATTCACTTTTTAACATTATAAAACGTTAGTGAAAATGTTATAATTTATTATTCGTTACAAAAGCTTAATACGTCAATATGTTTATGAACTTTATAAATTCTCTAAAGGAACAATTTTTGTGTGTTTTCTTTAGAGGGACGAATACCTATTATTTCTATATCTAAAAATTGACATTAAAAATTCCATCAGGCAGTGCAAGGATCAGTAAATCTATAGCAACACATATAATATCATAAGGCTACCTTCGATGATTCGATTTCTGAACGTAATCATTCATCGAAGTGTTAAATTTGCATTAAAAATACATTTGGTTAGTGGTGAAAAAATCTCATTCGAATTCTTGCTTCTTGGAACACGATTGACAGCACAATTGGTGATAAAACTGGTAAGTGCAGAGTCGTGCTTGCGCCACTAAGTTGCAATTTGTTGTACTGTCCTTGCAAAGTGGGTTTTCCTCGAGAACTAAAAGTACGTAAAATAATAAAAAATTTCTAATACAACTTATCATACTTGAAGCGTAATAATCATATGTTTGACAATTGTAATAAGATATAAAATACCATTTGAGATTTCTGGATCGTTTTGAACTTGCAGGACTGTATGTTGATTTTCAGATCTGTGAACGTCGTCCTTACAAGGATAATCGTTGCAGGTTCGTCGAGATATAGGACGATCCTTTTCTTTACAATGAAGCTCGTGATGCTCAGGTGGTTGACCTTCTCTGTTCAAACACCTTACTTCTCTCTTTTGAATGCCTTTTCCGCACGATCGAGAACACTAAAATGAGTGGAAAATAAATTTACATAGCAATTACCAGACTGTGAATTTTATAACTCGGAATATGTTTTGTATACGTATATTTTCTTAAAACCATGAGGGAGAAAATTTGATTGGAATATAAATACATGGTTGAAAACTGAGTGACAATTTTAGAAGGTTTCATATTTGAATTTGATGTTAGGTTAAAGAATTTTTTTTAGTTATACATAAGTGACTTTAAATTACTTCTGTCCAATCTGATATAAACCACGAGGATGTACAAGGTGGACCGCTGCAGGATCTTCTCGTTTCCGGTTTGTTTGCGGGACAGTTCATGTCCAGAACAATGCGGAGCGACCCACGAAGTATCGTTATGCACACCACTTCTCTAACTTGTTCGCCTGAATCACATTCTGTAGAACACTATTGGAAGAGGAATATTTATACAGTCTACAAAATTTCCATTCTTGGATTTGAATTCAGAATTAGTATTTACAATTTGATATTTGTAATAGAGAGATTCAAATAAATTCTATTCTCCAAAAAATAAAAATTGTATATAGTTGAAGCTTTTGTAACAAAATTGGAGTAACCTACTTAACTTAATGTTAATGTATTATTCTCTTTATCTATGTTATTTGAACCTACCGCGGTCCAGGGTCCCGTAAACCATTGTCCACTACAGGTTCTGTTGCTGGAACAGGTTCTTGATGATTCTGGTCTTGTCGATTGGTCGCAAAATCCTTCCCCTGGACTTTTTTCGCAGAAGATCTTCCTCGTCTGCAAACCGACTCCACATTCGGCTGAGCACTGTATAGATCAGTAAAAAATACTATACTTTTCTCAAAATATGTAGCATTCATACAGAGTAGAAGGATAAAAGATAATACAACTTTGGAATCTTTAATGACTAAACAAGAGCAATCGTATAAAAAGAAATTCCAATTGATTCCCTTATTTCTATCCACTTTATTGTGAAGACACTTTCTTATATTATATCGGATTCTAATAGGTATAAAAGGATTTTATACCAGAAGGATTGATTATAACAGAATTCTAATTATGTATATTTTATTATTATATATAGTATCATATTACATTATAATATATTAGAATTCTATTACAGAAAATCATAAGTTTCTGAAATCTTAATCGCCTTTTCTATCTTCTATGAACAACACGAAAGTAGAATAGTTCCTACCCCATCAGACCATTCACTGTACAGCCATTGTGGACTTTGAAGTCTAGTTGAAATGGCGTTTGTTTGCGGTGATTTAATGGAACAAGGTCCCAAATCACAAGCATCTTGAGTAATAGGCTTCACTTCGAGATCACATGAAGGTCCGTGAGTGACGCAGGTCGCAGTTCTTGTTCTTTTACCTGGACCACAAGTTGTGGAGCACTTTCAAAGAAGAAGAAATTAAATTCGTATTTCAAATCATCTAAACGTCTACTATTTTATTTTTATAATGCCATACATGTACTTTCTTCGCTCGATTGCCTTTGAAACTGATTTGGTTTTTAATCAGGCAATTTCTCAAAAGATTTTATAAAGTAGAAACTTACTGATGACCATGTGCCCACGCTCCATTGTGGTGGCGGTAAAGTTGTCGTCGCTGCTTTCGTGTCGAATTCACACTGTGGCATTTCGCAAATCTCGGTAGTAGGAAGAATATTCGGCTCCGTGCAGGCGCCATCAGCTATTCTCATTACTAGTGATGGCGTTATTTCTTGCACGCATTCTACGTCTCTCAGACGATTACCGCTACCGCACGTAACCGAACAAACACCCCACGGACCGGCTCTCCATCTTAATAACAAATGTAAAACGTAATTTATGGCAATATGTAGCAATTAAAACTAAAGGTAAGGAAATAGGAATTGTACTCACTTGGGAGGACAAGGTATAGTATTGCATTTTACTTGAGTTTCTCGTGGCTTTTCCAACGTATGACATCTCTTGTCAGGCACTGGAGCCTGCGTATGTTCCCTTGTACATACATACCTCAGCATTTGGACACCTTTTTTTACAAACAGGATAAAAAAAGATAATTGTTATTAATTTACAAGTTATGTATATATATGCTTTATACAATTTATATTTATAATGTATATATATAAATTGTTATTATTTTATAAGGTATATAATATCTCTATAATATATCTAAGCTAAATTTAATTATATAATATTCCTACCTCCACCACAAGTTCTACTACACTCGGTATAACCGCTTGCTTTCCAAAAGAATTTCCTTTTTTTGTATCGTCTTGGAAGATATGCTTGCGTTCCATCATTAGTAGAACCAACATCTATTCTAAAGAATAATAAATACTCTTTAATAATTAATGAAGTTGAAAAATGGTATTGAAATGTTAATTGTGTAAGAATCCTTACTTCCTATGAGGTATCGCCGATAAAATGGGTTCACCAGCTTTGTTAGAAACTGAAAATAGAATTATTCTATATTATAATTATTACAGAGGGCGACAATGTATCGTCAATCAATTTTTATATATTTTCAAGAAAATGTTATACCTGGTTTGTGTCCAAGATGAATGTTTGGAGATGGTGCACTTCCGGGGATAATGTATCGATATACAATCCCAGGATTCGGTTCTTGGTACAAAACCTAATTTGAAAATATTAATGAATTTATTTTTTCATTCTATATAACGCACTTCTCGCTTTCAAGTATAATATTTTATTATTCTGCTTATTTCTATTACAACAATTTATTTACCATAACATCAATAGGTTCTTCTAATGGTCCAATGGCAGAGAAACTTTCCAAATTCTGAGAACCTTGACGAAAATAAACGAAAGTAGTTCCAGCTGCCTGATATTTACCAGACAAACTGATGCTGTAATTTCCATTGAACAAATAGCTACCATCCTGCAACTTGACCGCTAAAAACAGAAATAACGATGCGTGACGAATTTATACATTAAAAATTAATGATAATACATTAATGAAGTTAGTAATTCTAGGAAATGATATAATTAATTTTCCAATTACATTTACCACATTTGTAGTTCCTAAACAAATTGAACTTGTTTTCGCAAAAATCGGGATGGCACGTCCAGTGCGATGAAGCGTTGAAAGGCATTAGTATTCAGTTGGTCCCGTTGATAATTACTTCGTGGAATTGTCACGTTCGAAATTAAATTGTGTGGTCACTCGGGTAATGAAACGGAAACGGAGAGTCATTCACGGCGTTTGCATGTGAGAAATGCTGGACGCAGTGTATGCGATACGAGACATTAGAAATATAAACGAATCATTTACTACATGACGTATACGTTAGTTATCCACTGCATCTCTTTCAACTCTCTTCAGATTTGATTGAACGAAACATTAACGTGATAATAACAGTGAATGCAAATTACTTCACTTTCATTTCAAATACAAGAGATACATAATCTGAATTAGTGACATATTTTACTTTACAAGAACTGTAATAAAAACTTCGTTTAAGTCATTGTTTTATATTGTAAATGTAAATTTATTGGAATAATATCGAAATCATTTAATAGATAATTTTTACAAATTTTTGTTACTCAATAACCACATCTCGTTCTATCAACCTAGATTTCCTTTTCCATTATTTTGAAGCCTAGTTCATGATATGTATCCGTAATTAGATATTTGCCATGAAATGTCCACACTTGCAGCTTTTATCACCAATAAAACGTTCGAACCTGTTTCGAGTTGCATTCGCAACGTCGAGGATTCGTAATAAATACGTAATTATTCACATTATTATACGTCCCATTCATTTCCCGTTATTTCACACCTACATAGCTGTTTCTTTGAGATCGAAAGAGCAACTGCTTGAAATAATATAACCTGTGTAATCTTTTTTAAAAATCTATGACACATCGACCGATTCGATCTATTGTGGAAGTCTTGACTAGCATCGTTTAGGTAAGAATTATAGCTTGTAAATGTTCATGATCGACTTTACGACCAAATCAACTTATATAATTCACGTTGAATGTAGTTCAAGGGGCTAACTACGTGGAAACTAGAAACAAACAACGTTGATTTT